CAACTATTTCGACGACCCGCAAACCGTGTACAACCGCAGTCACTATGGCACCAGGAGGTAAATCCGCAGGCAAGGCCATGAAGAAGTCCGGCAAGGCGCAGAAAAACATCACCAAGTCCGACAAGAAGCGCAAGCCGAAGAGGAAAGAATCGTACGGTATTTACATCTACAAGGTGTTGAAACAAGTGCACCCCGACACCGGCGTTTCCTCCAAGGCTATGAGCATCATGAACAGCTTCGTCAACGACATTTTCGAACGCATCGCCGCCGAATCCAGCCGTCTGGCCCACTACAACAAGCGTTCGACCATCACCAGCCGGGAGATCCAGACCGCCGTCCGTCTCCTGTTGCCCGGTGAATTGGCCAAGCACGCCGTCAGTGAAGGCACCAAGGCCGTGACCAAGTACACCAGTTCCAAATAAGCATTTCGATATTAGTCGCGCGCTATATCCACTTAAAACGGCCCTTTTCAGGGCCACCAAATTATTATTCTGATACACGTTATTATATAATAATATTATTATTATTCGTAGTGTATCCTATTTAAGTTATTAATATCTGGGGTTTTTAATTTTTATTGACAATATCACCGACCGGACGACCGCCGTGTGTGTTATCGTCTTTTGTATCATTATATTACGTTTGTCGTCGGTTAGTACTACGACGTGTATTTTATTTGTACATTCAGCGAATTTTTTCACATTACATTACTAAAAATATAAATTCACTACACAAATTAGAAAAAAACGGGAAAACAATATTAGCTATAGATAACACTTAAATTAGCTATATATGTATATAACAGCTTTATTAACTAAAATAAAATACAACAGTGATCTGCTCACTCGAGTTAATTGCATAACGACACAGTTTACTGGCAGAGTATAATATTATTGCATTTGAATATATTATATTTTTAGGTCCCGGGACTTGTACCGAATGGTCTGAAAAATAGATCTGACTGCAGTATAGTTCTTAAAGACCAACGTATTTTAGCAAATAAGCAATTAAACGTAGGCCAAACAATCAAAACAAAACTATACAAAATTGTCTACACAGTAAAAATGTCAATAATGTTTATCATTTAAGGCCGCCCAAATTACTTTGACGGGGGCACTCTCCCGTAATAGACCGTTTTATTACGAGGAGGGTATTGTCGCGCGCATTATTGTTTTTACGAATATTATAATTGTGTGTGTGTTTATTAACTTTTGAGTTACTTTTCTTCTACTTAATTTAAAAGTGTTACCTTTTCTCCCGTCGATTTTAAGTGTGTGTGTGTGTGTTTAACGGTTCGTGTACCAAAGTGCGTATACGACACTGACAAGTTACAATTTTTAATTACATTTTAAAGAATCGAACATTTTTTTTTTTTTGTATATTTTGGGATTTTTTTATTCTTAGGCAGGTGGGTACTCAAATGTTTTATTATTTTCGATAATTGCGTCATATTTAAAAATTTTGTTTATTCAAAAGTGTTAAATTTATTTTTTATAAAAACTATTTTTATTTAAGTTTTGCGGTTACAACTAGTATGAACATAATATTTAAAAAATACAAGTTATATTTAAAAATAAGTAGAAAATAAATTTCGAGTGCATATTTGGGGTTTTATTGAACAATTTACAGATAGGTACAATATAAAAAAAGCGATTATGAAGTACGTTTGTATGTGAGTATGTTTGCATGTATGTATGTATGCATGGATGGTGTGTACGTCAACAGATATTGCTTTTAGAATTGATCGATATCGAGACGGTTTTTCGTGTACAGTTTATCATATACGACTATAGTACACAAGTATTTGAATTTGAATACAAATTTACAATGAAATACAAATGAATACAACGACGTGGGTCGTTCATTCCGCTCGTTTGTTTTTTTTTTTTTGTTTTTGTCCTGTTATCTATACCTCGCGTGTGCCGTTTAACGCACAGCGCAGCGGCCGCGTCTGTTGATATTTTCCGTTTTTAATCAGTCAGGTGAATTTGTAATATTTCATAATTATTGTTATTTTGATATATTTAAAGTTTTGTTGTGGGCATACAGCCATACTTGTAATTATAAGTTAACTAGGGTTTAGGGCTGGCCAGACAGTCCTAAGTATTGTCAAATCAATTAAATGTTATTATCTGCAATAGCCAATCATTTCCCTAAATATACATACAACAATAAACGTATTTACCCATGTTGTAGTCGTTTTAACTTTTTCATTCCATTTCACAATCACTATTACTTACTGTAGTTTGTATTACTATAATCTATAAAATATCGGTACGAGACACCGCGCGACACGCTTGTTGTGTATATTGTATTATATAAATATTTGGTGGTCCTGAAAAGGACCGTTTTAAGGGTTTAAGAGAGTGTTTTTAACAAATTACGCCTTCTTTTTGGGCGCAGCCGTCTTCTTGACTGCCACCTTCTTCGCCTTGGGTGCCTTGGCTTTGGTGGCCGGCGCTTTCTTAGCCTTGGCCGGAGACTTTTTCGGTTTCGCGGCTTTGGGTTTAGGCGCTGCGGCTACCTTTTTCACCTTCTTGGCGGCGGGCTCGCCGGATTTCGGTTTCTTGGCACCGGTGCTCTTCCTCTTCTTGGCCGCTCCGGGCGCCTTGGACACCGCCGCTTTCTTGGCGATCGGCTTCTTTTTCGGCGCTACCTTCTTCTCTTTTTTGACTTCGGCGGCCAATTTGAAATGGCCCGACGCTCCGTTGCCCTTGGTCTGGACCAGCTTGCCGCTGGCGACGGCCGACTTTAGGAATTTGCGGATGAAAGGCGCTAGCTTGGCAGCGTCCACTTTGTAGTTGGCGGCCAAATATTTCTTGATAGCCGGCAACGACGATCCTTTTTTCTCCTTCAGTTCCTTGACGGCTGCGATCACCATCACGGCCGTGGTAGGATGAGCCGGTGCGGCTTTCTTCGCCTTGGGAGCGGCGGACTTCTTTTTCGGCGACTTGGCCTGGGCCGGCGACGAGGCGGCTGGTGCTGGTGCGGCGACTGCGGTGTCGGTCATGGTGAAGCGGTTTGAAATAGTCTCTGGTACTCTGGTAAAATGAACAGGAACGGTGTGTATAACTCGCGTTTGGCTATCACGCCGTCTATATACTCGCCGCCATACCGACTAGTAAACGTTTACGGAATCGAATTTTCCGTTTTGACGTGATCCCGTTCCGTTTTGTCTCGTTTTTCCCGCTCGAAAATCACTCAACGGCGATAAATCTCGTTCTCCTTAAAGCCAACGTTATAGCAAATCCGTCGGTCGGTCGAGTTTTCACTTAAAATCGACGGCCGACGTGCCGCAGGAGGTTGTTCCGACCAGTCCGACTATTCAACGATACACCTCTTTCGAGGTCGATTAGGACTCGTTAATTTCGAGTTAAACTAAAAAATCTTTTCGATTCGCAATCTGCACGTGTATTGAAAAATTATCGCGTGGGCTCTAAGAGTCTGCGGTATGAAGAGACCGAAGGGGGCGGTGTCGAATTCGGGTCGTTAGTAGTTTTACGTGTCGCGTAGTTATCATCAAAACTCTATGCGATATTTTGACGGCGGCAACACCGACCGAATCGACTTAAGATTACACCGAAAATAGTAAAAACAATTTAAATTTTCATTGTAAAAATATATTACCTATTCGGCTATTAAAGCTGCCCCGATTTCTATTAAAAATAAGACTGCCAAACGCTCGACTCTATTTTAATTAAATCGTTAACCGATTCGAACGAGTAAACCGTCGCGATTATGACGTCTTTACATTTGTTTAAATTTATTTTATATATTTTTGAAAGTCCAAGACTGATTTACTACGTTTGCTCAATAGTAGTATTGTTAAATATCTAGACTCGCCCGTGATCGTCGGGGGTCCATATTATGACGGTTTCGTCTAAAGTGACGAGGCAGCACAATGTATGCACAACGAGTAGCCCGTTTACAAAACCGATTACGTTTCAAAAAATTAATATCGGTGTTTTTATTTTTAAGTTTTATGATAACGTTTTGGTTTATTTTGTCTTGAAATAAATTTCCATAACCCATTTTTTACCTGATAAACATATACTTTATGTGTAGGCCCATTTCCAAAAGTTATTGTCTGCAGTAATTGCCACGAGGCATGTAATATTGGACCGTTTGTCAAATAAAAACGTATTATCAACATAACGGGTTTCACATAGGTATTACATATTGTATTTTAATATTAAAGTCGGAAACGATTATTTCTCATTTTATTAAACGAAAATGCTAGTTTATTATTGTAAAATTAGAAGTACAAAATTTATTTTATGAACAAAATCGTGTTTTTTTTTTACTCCAGAAATAATCTACTCGAATCCAAAACTTTTCGTTTACTCACGTTCGAGTGCCTTACTAATTTTTCATTTTAAACGTGGTTGGAAAACTGATTTAACAAAAAAAAAATTGCAATTTGTAGGTAAAGACCGTTTGTTTTGGACATTTTATTAAACTGGTTTTTTCATATTTTCCCAAAATTTCAAAAAAAGTTGACTTTTATAATTAATTGTACATAGGCTATTCGATACGAAAAATACAAACACCAGCCGAACATTGGCCATTTCACATTAGCAAGTGATATATTATTATTTATTATATTTAATTATTACATATTAATTATATAAAGTAATTTATTATATTATTTAGTTTTCAGTTTTCACAAACGTATAGAACCTATTGGTATCGTCACTGTCCGTGTATTTTAAATTCAGTGCCGCGGAAACGTGTGGAGCCCATATCTACCTACTTTCAGATAACATAGTTTTAAACGACGCGCCACAATCTACGGGGTTTTTTCTTTTTTCTTTTTTAATAACGCGTCCATCCCTCCCGTCGGACAAGCCGGATAGAAAATAATAATTCCTTTACACGCCGCGTTCTACGACCTAACAAACTCATATCGACTATAACGCGGCCGCCGACTACTTCCCGCGCGCGCCAAAAATACATTTCACACTATGCCTAACGCTATACCGACCCGTTCATCGTCTACCGCCACCGCCGTGTCTACCGCCTATTCTTTTACCCGCTTTTTTTTTAAAATATAAATAATACTTCAATAAAAACGGTCGTTGGGAATTTTCAACATTAATCTAAAAATGTAAGTAACAACATTCTCGGGGGGATACCCACGACCGTCGATAATAATAAAACTATTGAGTACAAAACTGTTGTATTAATTTTATCAACAGCGCGGCGCCCGCTGTAAGGTCGATAGAGAAATAATTTTAACGCATGTAGTGGCCCTGAAAAGGGCCGTTTTAAAGAGGATTTGTAGAGTATTGAGACGATTAAGCACGTTCTCCGCGAATACGGCGAGCCAACTGGATGTCCTTGGGCATGATGGTAACACGCTTGGCGTGGATAGCGCACAAGTTGGTGTCTTCGAACAGACCGACCAAGTATGCTTCGCTGGCTTCTTGCAGAGCCATGACGGCCGAGCTCTGGAAACGCAAGTCGGTCTTGAAGTCTTGGGCGATCTCGCGGACCAAACGTTGGAACGGCAATTTGCGGATCAACAGCTCGGTGCTCTTCTGGTAACGACGGATTTCACGGAGAGCCACGGTACCGGGACGGTAACGATGGGGTTTCTTCACACCTGCGGTCGCCGGTGCGCTCTTGCGGGCGGCTTTGGTGGCCAACTGCTTCCTGGGAGCCTTGCCTCCGGTAGATTTGCGGGCGGTTTGCTTGGTACGGGCCATGTCGGTAGTTCGTAGACTGTGTGTAAAAACTCGAAACGGTCGAATATGTCTCCGCACATTGCATTGCATTGCTGGTTTGGATTGTTCCTCTGTTTCAAGCTATTTGCTTCTTCCAGGGAGTTTGATATATTGGCTTGAATCTCTGTGGATTTTATTTTCCCTGTTTGGTTTCTTCCGTTTGTGTTTTAACTTCCGATGCTGAGGGGTCGTTTGTGGTGACGCTCTCTTGTAGCTGGTCGGGTGGTGATTAGCTTGAGATGTTGGTGGGGGGTGTTTTCAAGCTTCTTGTATACGTTTTGTGTCGCTTTCTTTATGGTTTCTCGAATTGTTGGCATTTTCGTGCTGTTTCTTACTGCCGTGTTGTTCACAAATGGCGCTGGATTTATTATTGCCCTGAGCGTGGTGTTTTGGACGGTTTCGAGTATTTTCCAACTTGTTTCTGAAAGGTTTGACGCCCAGGCTGCTCCTCCGTACGTCATGATTGGCCTGATGTATAGTTTGTATATTGACAGTTTTGTGTTGATGGAGAGGGGGCTCTTTGAGTTTATGACCGGGAATAGCATTCTCTTGGCTGCTTTGGCTTTTTGGACCGTCTTGTTGATGTGCTGGGAAAAGTTGAGCCTCCGGTCGATTTGAACTCCCAGGTATCTGGTCGAGTGGGACCATTTGATTTGTTGACCTTGCATGACAATCCGTGGTGTGTTCGTCGTGGCTTTGTTGGAGAACATGATAGCGTTTGTTTTCTGGGCGTTGACTGTAATCTTCCATTGTTTGAGCCACGGTGTCAGTAGATTCAGGTGTTCTTGGAGTCGTTTTGACGAGCAGGTGTTTGTTGGGCTCGATGCGTATATTAAAGTGTCGTCGGCGAAGAGAGCGGTCTTGGTTTTGGGATGCCGGGGCATGTCGTCGATGTAGACGGAGAAGAGCTGTGGTGATAGGCTCGATCCTTGTGGGACGCCGGCGTTGATGTGTCTTGGTGTCGATTCAGTTTCTCCGACTCTGACGTGGAATGACCTGTCTTCTAAAAAGGATTTTATGATGTGTACCAGTTGGTGCGGGGTGTCGAGTTTGATTAGCTTATATATTAAGCCGTCGTGCCACACTTTGTCGAAGGCCTTTTCTATGTCAAGGAGTGCTGCTGCCGTTTTCTTCCTGTTGTTCAAGTTGTTTGCTAAGTCGTCAATTACTTTGACTAGCTGGGTCGTCGTACAGTGTTGGGTTCTGAATCCATGTTGTTCGGAGCGTGGTGTGAATGACATTTTGAGACGATCCAGAAGAAGCGACTCAAAGACCTTCGACATTGTGTTGAGCAGTGATATCGGCCTGTGGTTGGCTGGTATTTTGGCGTCCTTTCCTGGTTTCGGGATCATTATCGTTGTAGCAGTTTTCCATTGCCGCGGGAAGTATTCTTGGCGAATGCAACCGTTGTAAATGTGAGCTAGCTGGATAATGACCTTTTTGCTGCAATGTTTAAGGACGGCGTTTGTGATGCCTTCTGGTCCTGGGGCTTTTTTGCCTGGGAGTCTCTTAATTTTCTTTTGAATTTCCAGGGGCGAGAAGTAAATCGACTTGACGTATGTTTCTGTTCTGTAATTGTCTAGGGTTTGTTGTACTAGTTCGTCTGTTGGAGTGATGACGTCGGCAGGTGGCAGCGAGAATTGCTTCTCCATTGCTAAGGTAAAGATCTCTGCTTTGTTGTGCGCGTTGTAGTGGAGGTTGCCGGTTTGGTCGGCCAGAAGTTCCGAATGTGGACATAGGTCCTACACCCCGGCTAAAGGTCTATGAGATTTCTCTCGTTACCCCAGACGGAGGCACCAACTTCCTAAGAAGCCAGCATCGCCGCATGAGACTGACGGCTATTGCCGGCAGCCGCCCCTGATCAGGCTATGGCCTACGTGTTACAGCAACCCAAGGGCGCTGGAACCCGCAAACCAGTGCCATCTTCCCAGTGGTTTTTCACTAGGCTACCCAATGGCTTAGAGATGGTCTGGTCTCGTCCGCCGACCTTGGGTGGGGCCCCGGTGCTATCCTCACCGGCGCGATGATTTGGTTCACCGCAACCGTCTGTGATTATCCTCCCACAGACAGAGTGACTGATCACCCGGGGGTCAAATGCCGCACCCGTGAGACTTCGTCCGACAAGCATTCTGTCGTTAACCACCAAAGTCACTTGCGCGACCGCCACTACGAATCCAACCGCAAATTGGGCGTGAGATCGGCCGCCTTCCGACCCCCCATCCACAATTATCCCGTAGTACTGGTTTCACCTGGAATATATGCACACAGGCACGGCCACCAGTTTGCCGCTTCGACGGAGCCATGGTATCCATGGGTATAATCATTCAGAGGGTGAGCGGTACCCCTGAACTAACCGCGCCGCCTCCCGACTATTTAACTTTCACGGAAACCTAGTAGGGCTAGTGGTGGGCCCGTGCTAACCTGGCGGTAGATACCACCAGGCGTGTCAGTCACGACCTCTCGTTCAGACCGAGCTACTCTCCGCGACTCACGCCAACAGACCCGCTCTGGGGCCGGTTACCGACCAGACACGCACCCCGCCCGGCAAGATACTTCCCTTAGGACGTAGACTCACCGCGCGTCAGCGCATGCCTGACCAGGCCGGCCGGCCGTGCTGTTTACTCCGGCCTCACCTCGCACCCGGTGCGCCTGCAGGTAAGACCGTGCATCACTAGGCCGTGGGACGGAAGCGTCCACCCATAAATGGGTGACCTTCTACCGTACCTTCGACCTCCCCAAGCCCCCTGGGCTCCTACGGACAGTTGCCAGCTGTCGCGCATCGTATCGTGCCTCCAGCAGACCGTCGGCTTTCGCCAACCAGTACCACCTGGCCCTCCGTCGTCCCCTGGACTCCTGCGGACGATTTGCCGCGCACCTTTACACACCTCCACGTACCCGGTACGCCTGCAGGATATACCGTGCACCGCCAAGGCCGTGGGACCGCAGCGTCTGCCCTAAGCGGGTGACCGTCTACCGTGCCTTCGGCCACTCCAAGCCCCCTGGGCTTCTACGGACAGTTGCCAGCTGTCGCGCGTCTTATCGCGCCTCCAACGGCGTCGCTAGTTTTCACCAGCGTGCGCCGCCTGGCCCTCCGTCGTCCCCTGGACTCCTGCGGACAATTTTGCCACGCACCTCTGGGATACACCCCACGTACCCAGTACGCCTGCAGACCCATGGGTCGTGCATCACACGTCACCCACTATCCGACCGCGTGCCGCCGCGGCCGCTCGCACGAACACTTGGAAGGCCCGAAAGGCCCCCTCGCTCCGCACAAGGGCACGCGGCTCACATGGCCAAGGTACTCCTGCCCTCACCAGATCGGCTATCAGCGCCCGTCTAGCGTCCAACACGCCGGCACAGTCAAACACCACATGTAATGCGGTGTCGACGCGCCCGCATGCCGCACATTCGTCGGTCGCAGATTTTGCGAAGCGGTGAAGGTAGGCCATAAACGCCCCGTGTTCGGTAAGGAACTGCGAGACATCATGGCCCACCTCCAGCCAACTACACCTCAACCGATCTTCCACCTCCGGTAAGAAGTTATACAGAGGCCTACCCTTTACTGACTCTGACCAGCGGGTCTGCCAACTTCTCACCGCCTCCAATTCCAGCTCCCTCACTTCCTCTACCGAGCCGTTCCTCCTCCTGCAGCGAGCCATTCGACCGCGCTTCACGATTTCTAGGTCCAGCGGTAGGACACCTGCCAGCACCGGGCACGCCTCGGTACTTGTGGTACCGTACGCGCCCGTCACTGCCAAGAGCACCTTCCGCTGTGCCCGGAGAATCATGACTCTCAGTCTCGGGTCCAACGCTCGCTCGCCCCAAAGCTCGGAGGCGTACAGCACCCTCGGGAGGTATACACACTGGTATAACATCCGCGTGATGCGTGCACTGATCCCCCACTTAGAGGCGACCACGCGTCGTACCCGCTGAAACATCGGCGCGGACGAGCTTACTACGCTCAGCACGTGATCCCGGTAGCTCCACCTATCGTCCAATTCTACCCCCAAGTAGCGCATGGAAGTCACTTCCTTTAGCCTGGAAGCCCCCATCCTAACGGTGAATGGCGGAGTCAACTGACCTTTCAGGCACATGACTTTCGTCTTTGTGACCGAGAAGGACAGTTTCATACCGCGGGCCCACTCACTCGCTCTCACTAACTTGGCCTCTGTCTTTCGGATGACCTCAGCTCGAGACCTTCCGGCCACCAAAAGCAACGCGTCGTCCGCGTAGCCAATGATGGTTTCACTGTCCAATTCCTCCGAACTCAAAAGAGAGTCCATCAGAACCTTCCAGAGCTCCGGTCCGTACTGCGAGCCTTGGGGACACCCTTTGGACAGAGGTCGGCGAACCTCAACCGACGGCGCAGTCATCACCGCCTCTCTCCCCGCCAGATATTGCCTGGTCAAATTCACCACCTTGTCGCTAGCTCCCAACCTTTTGAGTTGATGCAAGACTGCCGGCCACCAGGCGTTGTCGAACGCCCCGGAGATGTCTAGAAACACCCCCAGGACGTACTTCTCCGCCCGGCTTTCGGTCCATTCCCTCACACTCAGTATTGCATCGACCGTGGAACGCTTGCTCGTGAAACCGTACTGATTTGGACTCATACTCGGGCCGACCTGCAACCTTAGCCTCCGACAGAACAGGTACTCCAGCGCCTTTGACAACACTGGAAGTAACGTGATCGGTCGGTAGGACTTGGGGTCCGACCGGTCCTTGTCTGGGGCCTTCAGCAACGGGATGACCCACCCAACTTTCCAACACTCAGGGAATTGCTCTCTGTGCCAACACTCATTGAAAAGAGCGGTCACTGATTCCTCAATAGCCGGCCAAGCCACCCGGAGGACTCTGGCTGTTACGCCATCGTACCCCGGGGCCTTGTCCCTTCCCATACGCCATACCGCTCGTCTCACTTCCACAGCTGAGAATTCCGGCTCTCCCAGTTGGCTGCTTTCCGCCTCCGATCCTCCGCCCAACGTCGCAGATCGGCCGGCCACCAAGCTCGTTTCCTCGCGGATCCGGGCGTGGTGATCGGTCTCTCCCTCGGCGCTGTCAGCGGGAATCAACGACTCAAGCAGTAGGCTCGCAGTTTCCACCAAGCCCACGGTGAACTCACCGCTCCCCTTTCGGAGAGTGGTCAGAACGCCGCGAACATCGGCTTTCGCTCCGTCCCTACACCAACGGTATACGGACCCCCAAGGCTTAGAGTTACCCTCTTCGGTAGTGAACTCTCGCC